CCCTGCCCCCCCCCCCCCCCAAATTAATCATTTGACCACTTCTACTGTTAGGATTTAATCACGGGTGAGAACAAGTGGTGTTATTTGGTTTTCACTTAGGAGCAGGGAGACACTAACCTGAAAGGAGGTATAAGGGTCATGGCCACATCCAGTGATGGGGTCATGACATTGGCCGTCATGTGGACCACACTGGTAATGAGAGAGCAGATGCAGAAGTGTAGTCCTCACTGTCACTATCTGGATGAGTGACCTTGGACAGTTCCCTTCTCTATTCTGGGGTTTCATCTTTTTCACCTGCAAAATATAGGGGTTGTACCTGATGGATCACAAGATCCCTTCCAGCTCAGACAGTTAAGTTTTATGGAAAGTTTGTAATCTCTCACAGACGCCTGCATGGCAAGAGACAAGCAATATTAGGGGCAGAAATGGGTACGTGAGGTTGGATGCTTTTGCTGTCTAAACTTTACAGCAAATGCATCTGGCTCTGTAGCTGAGGGTAGTGGGTTTGGCCTTAGAAATGTTTTGAGGGGTTTTTTATTCATAGATAACTGATGTGGTAGGCAGTCTGACAAGACATGGAGTTTGATCAGGCATCCCTTGTGCTGGCATCTTGGGTGGTGAAGAAGTTAGTAGTGAGCAATCAAGAGAAACCATGATTCCTGATTGGGCTGTCTTGACTGGGATTTTAAGCATTTGGGTTGCAGAAAAGTTTTATCTCCAACTCTTAGAACACAAACATTTTTCACTTGTTAGGGAGGTCAACAAATTCTTACTGGGATCTGTATTCCCAAAACAGAGAGACTTAAGCTCATTGTGTGGTATTGTGTGAACTTTTTCTCAATGTATTCCGTTTTTATTCCAACCAAACCCCTGTGCACATTTCCACATGAAAATTACAGGAGAAGGCATCTGTTTCACCTAGACATTGATTCAGGGTAAAAAGTTTAAAATGGGCAAATTTTTTATGAAGCAGGAGCAGAAATGTGTGACCAAAGAATGTTTCCATTTTGCTTTTAGCTTCTTTAGACGGGAGATCATATAGATTTTCAAAATGTTCCCCCTCTGGAAAGCATCAAAAAGCTCTTGATATAATAATAGCCAATAAAGAAAGGTTGGCTTACAACAGAGATTTCTCCTTCCAGAAATTCTACACTCTTCCTATCCATCCTGTTGCTTCTTTACAAAATGAGAAAGGTTCTCCTGCTAGACTATGAAATGTAGAAGACCTGGTGAAGTTCAGCTGATTTTCAAAGGTAAATTAAACTGTTCAGCTTCATAGAATTCATAGACGTATGGCTGTGTGTGTGTGTGTGTGTGTGCGCGCGCGCTCGCACACACAACAGACATGTCAAACCCATTTGGGCAGTTTAAAAAACTTAACACTAAATCCCAAGCCATGTTCTTTGGGTCATATGTAGTCATGCTCAAAATCAAACAATTTCTGGCTTCTGAGTCATCTGGCTATATCTCTAGCAACTTTTTTCTTGAAATTCTGAAAATGATTCAGATATGTATGCGTATGTAATTCATGTAGACGATCTTCAAACTTGGATGGTATTTATTCTAAATGGAAAAAAATTTTATACTGATAAATCTATGTAATTTATAGTGGTTTTGTTTAATATATTATATTTTCATATCTTTAGGGCACATCTCTCCTCATCTTTTTGTATATCATACTTAGTAAAAAGAAATACTAATACTTGACTAAAATCTCTAGGAACTAAATGTGATACCTGATGTACAGTAAATCACTGAAAATATGTGAATGTTCTCACCCATACCAGGCATTATTGTGTTGTGTGATTACATCGAGAATGATCTGTCTCAGATGCTACGAGCATTCCTTTTTTCCAAAACTAAGGCTAAGAGACCTGCCATCAGTCACAGTGGATTCTGGAATCCCCTTCCTTTCTTTCTTTTTTATCGTTTGTTCATCCTAGGTGTGTATGTTGTTTAAGCTTCCCTTTAAAGGGCAAGTGTGAAATAAGAAAGCAACTTAATGGAAAGATGGAATTCAGCTCTGGCTCTGTAAATTATTTAATGGACTAATAACCTGTTTTAAATCTAATGCTTGGATTGTTATTTATTAGTGATCTAAGATCCGCTCACCTCTTTAGCACATGAAAAAAACGTGAGGCACAATGAATATTTGCATGTTTTGTACAGGCACACTCTCCACGTAGTGCAGCCAACGCGAGCCAAGCTAAGTGTAGAAACACCAATCCCAGCCACGTAGGGAGCGTTTCACAGAGGAAAGTCAGACACCTTTTATCAGTGAATGGAAATACAGTGTTGTGTCAGTGCTGGAACTCTGAAATTGCAGCCTCTATGGTCCTGTTAAGGGGGGGTTTCCTCTCAGTGTTAAATTTAGCAAGAAAATGTAGCATTTAACTTCTCCTTCAGATACTCTATTTTATACCCAGCACAGTTCAACTACTAACCTTTACCTATCTTCGCATATCCTTTTGGCAGTCCCTTAAGATTATTATTCCTATTTCTATTCTTGCTTTTTAAACAAATTTATTGTACTCTTTAAATACCTACCGGATCTCATTGTATATTCCCACATGTATTTTGAGCACCTGATAGCTTCAAGATTAGTCATTTTTACATTCACCTATTCATTTAAAAATCCTTCTGTAGATAACAAAGTTCATTTTCCTAATGACTTTCTTAGGGTTTCTACAGTGATTAATCAGGTTTGGATTAAATAAATAAGTGGTGGGGACAAAAAAAATCAAAACAGAAGTGCTTACAATGTTTTCCAAAGGACTGAGTGTTTCTTATACAAAAAAATATCACATGAGGGTAGCAAGGGTCTTTAAGATTCTAAAGAGATATCATTTTAAGGAGGCTAATACTTAGAATACCACAATCAAAATCAAAGCTTTTAAAGAATGTGAAACTAGAAAACAAATAGTTCTAAATATATTTTGGCATGAATCATTTATATTCAACCAGTAACAAAAAGCCTTCAAATATATCTCTCTGACACCATAGTGCTGCCTACAGTGAGTTAGGGTCAAAGAAGATGCTTGTATTTCTGTTCAATTCACTGTATATCTAGTTCTGGATATCCTTTGTTAAAACTGGAAAATAAAAAAATTTACCTGGGTGGAAATGTCAAACTGGTGATTTTGTGAATGATAAATGTTCACTTTTTAAAAATAATTTAAATATGGAAACAAATGACTGATAATTAAGTTGATGATATACTAGAAAAAAAACACATGTGATTCATCCTGTATTTTGATTGTTGCTTTAATAAAGGGTTTGCACAGGCATGCTGAATGTGTGTCATGTCCACCTAACGGGCATGTCATTGTGGCCTGACTTATTCTTTGCAATGACATGAAATCTGTAGTCAAGTCTTTCCCCTACCTTTTGCAGCTGAAGCATATCTTAGTGGAAAATGAAATAATTTTTATGTAACACTACAAACTTTATCCAAATTCAGAAACAGTAGCTTCATCCTGACAAACTTCATAGCAATTTACCTTTATCTATATCAAGAAATAATTTTTGACATGTAACGTCAAGCTTACTGAAAAGAACCCAGAAATATCAGGAAACTCACATACACAAAACTTTCCATGGGAGCAGGCATGAGTAATAGATCTGCCACGAAACACCCAGACAACACCCAATCCAGGCCAAATCTAACATGCTAACTATGTCTTTTCTTTTGATAATCAGTAAGCTTTGAAAGCTGAATTCCTCTCAGATGAGACATGTAAGCAGAACAAGAAAGGAGACTACCAAGTGGGAAAGGCACA